GTTTTGTCTGAAATTGGTATTGCCACTCCAGTTTTTTTATGGATATCATCTGCTTGGTATATTTTACCCCCACCCTTTGATTATAAGTTTGACTTTGTTTTCTAGTTTCTTAAATGTGACTCTTATAGGTAACATATTGATGGGCTTTGGTTTTTAATCTATTCTGCTACTCTTTTTCTCTTAATTAGTTCCTTTAAGCCTTTCAGGTTGAATGTGATTATTGATAAGCTCGGTTTTATTGTTTCCATTTTGTTGTGTTTCTACTGTGATGAGTAGAAGTGGTAAAAATAAGTTCACTATCTTTTTTATTTTAAGGGAAAACATTCTCAGTCTTCACCATTGAGTATGATGTTAAAGCTATAGGTTTTTCATATGTAGCTTTCAATCATATGGGGAAATATCCTTGGTTTCCTAATTTCTTTAGTAGGTTTCTATCAAAAGTTTGTTGAATTTTGTCAGATTTTTAAAATTAATTGATGTGATTATATGTTTTTTTCCTTCATTCTTTTAGTGTGAACATGGTGTAGTACATTAATTGATTTGGTTATGTTGAACTACCTTATGTTGAATTCCTTGGATATCTTCCATTTACAGTGTGTAATTCTTTAATATTCTGAATTTCAGTTTGCTACTATTCTGTTGAGGATGTTCAAAAGGGGTATTAGTCTATAGTTTTCTGGCGGCGTCCTTGTTTTACTTTGATCTGAAGGTAATATTTGCCTCAAATTTCAGTCCACTAAACTACATTCACTGCCACCGAGTTGACTGCAGTTCATAGTGACCCTCTTGTGCTGTTGAGGTGGAAAATCTTTATCACGGGAAACTGCTGCTGATGGATTCAAACCGCTGGTGACATACAATCTTTTTGATTAGCATCACAGCATTGTAACATGGCCATGCTCATTCTTTTATGTATTGTCTGTTTTTTTGCTATTCTGACAAGGTTGAGTATCGGACCAGAGAGAATGCGGCCATGAGGTTGAAATTGTTAGTGTTTTGCAGGAAATATTGGTGACTCTGTCCTCGAGCTCTGTCGTCTTTACTTGTGATTACACTGGTTTTTGGTTATGATGATTGATAGACAGTAATAAATAGACAGTTAATAAATTGTCATATAAGTGCAAGCGAATCCAGCCTTTCTACATCAAAACAACTTTCCTTTGTCTATACATTTTATCCACTTTTCTTCCTTCCTTCCTTTTTTTTTTTTCTGTTCTAGCATCATGGATTAAAAATAGACCATTCTAGACTGGAATTTGTCCAAGACTTTATTCAAGTGACAAAGGCTGGGTTGCATAGTGGGTTGGGTTGGGTTTTTTTGTTTTGTTTTTTTCATAGTATTTTATATGTTGTGATGCTAACAGAATGATTGTTGAGTAATCTTTGTTGTTGTTGAATCCACCACTGCTCTGTGTAAGAAAGATAGGCAGTCTTCTTTCCTAAAGATGGATACCCATCAGATACTGGGTATCAAATAGCCTTGGAAACCCATCGGAGGGTTGCCGGGAGTTGGAATCTCTTCAATAGCAGTGGGCTTTGTTTTTATTATTTTCATGCCCTAGGAATGTCTTCCTGTAATTTTCTCACTTTTCCTCCTTAGTCGATTGTTTGCAGTAGTTCTCCTTCTAAATCAGTGCTACTCAGTTTGACCATTTATTAAACATTGATAGGATGTAACTTTGTAGAATTTTTTCTTCTTTTTCTTTTTAATAATTGTGCTGTGATTCTGTCAGTACTAATTATGAATAATTGGCTACTGAGTATGCCGTTTACAGCATTTTATTTTCTGTTTTTACAGTTAAACTCATCTTTCATGCTTTAAGGGACATCTATTCCAGTGAATTCTTTTTAAATCTTTATTGGAGGAAGCGTGACCAGGGTGCTCTTAGAGGCAGGGGTGATGAAATTCCATCTCATACTTCAGACATGTCAGGAGGGACTCTTTCCTGGACATATCATGTTTGGAAAAGTCGACAACCAGCTAAAGGGAAGAAGACTCTCAATGAGATAGATTGACACAGTGATTATAGCACTGGCCTTGAATGTGGTGGAGATCATGAGGTTGGTACAGGATAGGGCAAGGTTTAGATCTGTTGTTTTTGGTGTCAGTGTGAATCATAGTTGACAGTTCTTAATATCATCATTTAGGCTATTTCACAAATGTCCTTTGTCTTGTACATGTTTCAGTCATGAAAATAAGACAAATATTTTACATGTCTGTAATAACACAGATAGTGACATATGTAAGTTGTCAGTGATAGAAAATACTTGACATGCATTTAGAAGATAAAACACAAGAACTGTGTTCTGAACTGTGCTTTCTAAGTCAGGAAAAAAAATCCTGGAGGTCATTATAAACTCTTCCATTCACTTCATCCAGTGGGTTTTCTCAACCAAAAGTCTGTTAGATTATGCCACTTAGAAGGAAATGTGTTCATATGATGGAAAAGAACAAAGGGCAGCACTGTTAGAATGAAAGGCTCAGTATGCTCTCTGTAATGCCCAGGACAATTCTGTGTTCTGTACTCTAAGTTAGAAGTGAGAATTACAAAACAGAGAGGCAATTAGGGAGTATCAGAGGCACTGAGGATACAGAAGTGAATAATGCAAAAATCTTGTTTCTCTTGGAGCTTAGGTAATAGTGGAAGCAGACAGCAAATAAGTAAAATAAAGGTGTTATGGGGTTTGAGTGGCATAATTAAGAAGCTCTGATGATATAATAGATTAAGCATTGGACTTCTAAATGAAAAGGTGGTGTTTGAAAGCCACTTCGAGGGAGAAGAGTGATAAGAGTGTGCTTCTGTAAAGATCCACAGCCCTGGGAACCATATGGGCAGTTCTCTTCTGGCCTTTAGTTTGCGGTGGAATTGACCAAATGGTAGTGAGTTTTGGCTTGATGTGATGAGCAGGGAGTGGTTTTCAGTATGGGAAATATCACTGAGCAAGTAACATGGAAGCAAAGAACACCAGGAAGGGTGACGTTAAGCTGTGGTAATTTGTGAAAGTGCATGGGAGCGAGGGGTAGGACATTATGTGTTTGGTGACTGTAAAGAACCACTTGAGTGGCTGAAGCACATGATTCGGGGAGAATTTAGGAGAAAATGTGGAGATGAGGAGAGGATCCAGGGAGGATGCTGTCCTGTGTGCGGGTGAAAGGACTTGGCTCTCACCCCAGTTGGGTGCAAAGCTATTGGAAAGTTGACTAACTTTGATTTCATATTTAAAAGCAATACTTCAACTATGTCAAGAATAGCACTTGGAGGAGGATTAACAGTTAATCACCAGTGAATGTACTTGTCTGTAAAGATGGCAAGAGGAAAAAAAAAGTGAGAAAGGTTATCAGAACGAAAAATCTTGACAAGATTTCACATATTTGAATGTGGATTTGAATGACAAGTCCAGTTGTAGAGCCAGAATGAGGTTCTGTTAAGTATATGTAAAAGGAAGAACTGCTTTTCTTAGAGATTATTAACCTACTTGATAGTGGTTTCAATTGAAACTATGAACAGCTTTAAGGAGAACTTAGATAAATTATACCGTAGGGATGGATGCACAGTAAATTAACAGATCAGTTAAAAGTGTTGGTGGGTGACTTGGTTAACTTTGAAATTAACAGGCTACCCTCTGAAGTCTTTCAGTATTAGCAAGCACACAGCAAAAGATTAGATGGACCACTGATCTGACTTAACATTATCATTGCTTGGATTTTTGGTTATCTTAATTGAATATACCATGGATGGCTAGGAGAGCAAACAGGTTCATCCTGGAGAGGGTGAAACTAGGCTGTTCCTTGGAGGCAAGGATCCTGAAGCTCCAACTGATATACTTTGGACATGTTGCAAGGTGGGATCCATCCTTGGAGAGGGACATCATGCTTGGGAGAGTAGAGGGACAGAACAAGAGAAGAAGATCCTGGATGAGGTGGATTAACTCAGTGACTGGGGAAATGGGGATAGGTGTGTCAGAGACAATAAGGCTGGCTCAGGATATAGCAGGGTACAAAGCTATTGTACGTAGGGTTGCAAGCTAATTGATGGAATGGAACAACCAAACAACTTGTCTCCTAATTCACAATCTGTAATGTTTCTGTTATTTTTATATTTTTCTTTTTTTTAAGTTCAAAAGAAAAAGATGAGTTTCAATCAGTTGAGTCTTTTGGTAGCCAGCAGCTGAACCTCAGTATTGGTGAAGACAGCACTGGTAGCTGGTCCAACCTAAGCTTTGAAGATGAACACCAAGATGAAAGCAGCAGTTTTCATCATCTAAGTGAAAGGTAACTGATGTTTTGTATGTAACTGCTTAGTTTAGACCAAACTAAACTTTCATTTGGTACTGTTAGAAAATTTGATATTGTTTTTAAAATGTTTTATGATTTCACAGTGTTTCTAATAACTTTTGACATTTATTTTCTATAGTAAATGGCCTAGCTGATTTTGAGTGTGCCAGTAAGTTGATTTGAAAAATGCAGCATATATTCAATTTTGTGCCCTTTAAGCATTTCCTTGGCTTTTAATAATTTTTTTAACTTAATTCACTTTATTTATACAAAATCTACTATGTGGTGGCCACAGCTTTTAATACATTTTTTTAGGAAAATCTTTCTTTAAAGGATACAGGTTCTCCTTAAATTGGACCGGTCCTTGGAAAAAGACATTATGGTGGAGGATCGGAGAAAGAGAGGAAGGTTCCCAGCAACAAAGATCGACACATTGACTGTGACAATGGGCTCAGACACATCTGAGTTGGTGAAGTTGGTGCAGAATAGGGCAAGGTTCAGATCTGTTCTTCACGGGGTCATTAGGAGTTGTAGATGACTCAATGGCACCTAACAACAGCAACTTTAGTTGATAAGGAAAAAGACAGTCATCTACAAAAGACACCAAAATGATTCTGTAATTTTGTTAATATTAGTTAAAATAGCATCCCTTTTAGGAGAGTTTCCCATTTGTCCTGTTACTAGAAACAAAATGAGCATTTATACTTGAATTATTGAGATACATAAATCAAACTCATTTTAAGATTACTTTGTACAGCAGAAAGTGCTTACTTCTGTGTAACTTTTTTGTTTAATTTTACTCATTACAGTAGTCTTTGGACTGTTTTATCAATTATGATGAAATAATTTCTTACAACCTTAAAGACATCCCTGAATAACCTATGAACTTTCATAAACTTCATTCATACCAACTGATCATTAGAAATAAGAACTATTAAGAACTCCTGAGTCTCAGAAGAGAAAAGGACATTCTTCGACATTGTATCAAGGATTCTGTGAGGGTTTATGAATAAAGTCTGTGAAACTGGCTTATTAGGAAAGGAGGTGGCAGCTTGAGGAAAAGAAATGGTTTTTCACATGATAAAACTTACCACCTCAGAGTGCCTTGCCTTATGCAAATACAAGTCGTTGAAACTGATAGCTAGAAGAACACTGTCACAGATCTTAGGACCCTTGTGCATAACTTTAGAAAATAAAGAGTAGAGAAAAGTCACATGGCTTTTGGTGAGTCAGATTTCTTAAACCTTACAACATGAGGAACTCTAAATTCATTTATTATGTTACAGATTTAGACTTCCATTGTATAAGTATTTGGAAATAGTTATAGCCCTCACCAGACTAGTGGGGGACAGAAAGTCCAACAGCATCTGAAATGCTTTGTGGGCATAATTTTACAAATAGCAATATAAGCTTACAGAAGTTGCCTTATTAAGGGGGTGTGTTTATATAATTCCAGCAACTTCACAGTTTAACAAACCAAATTTACTATACTTCTCAAAACCTAGATGAAACAGGAAAAAGAAGCCATACAGTATAAATTGCAACTTCAGAAAATTTCCTGCTTTATTATTCCAAGTAGTTTTCCCATGTAAAATAAATGTCCAGTAGTTCCCGGTATGTGGGAAGTTAATGTTTGTTAAAGTCACAATGAAGTCTTAATTGATGGTTGGCTATCACTTAGTTTTGTCTTTTAATCTTTGAGAAACAGAGGTTTATAGGACTTCAGAGAGAATTGTAGCTTAGGAAATCCCAATAGAATGGCAGAGCAAATCCAGGGGCATTCAGAGGAGTTGGAACCAGTTGAGAAAATTTTTGTAGAGTGTTATCTAATTTGATGAAAAGAAGTGGGATGTCTGCCAGGCTCTGTCCTTTGTTCTTTCTCTATGTGTGTTATTTTACTAGTGACGTCAAATAATATACTAGTGATTTAACATTATTTTTAGTGATGTAAAACTATTATAGTTAGGAGGGGAAATATTATTGTAATTAGGAAGGGGAAAACCTAGCATCTATTAGAACAAGAACTGTGGTTTTGATTAACTGTAGTCACAGAGTCAGCCCCCATTGTTATTAAGGCACAGATTGTTCTTGATTGTCCAGTTCATCCAGGGCTGGATATGTACTTGTTAAATGCAGTTCCAGATCTTGCTTCCTAGAGTTAGGCATGCACTAGGTAGGTCTGTGTCGAGTCTGCATGTTTGGAAAGCACCTCGGATGATTTAAAGCAGATGACTTGCAGATCACACTTTAAGTATCGTGGTTTACATGCTGATGGCTTTGATGATACCTGTCTGTACTAGTTCTTTCTGGTGCTCTGATCCAGGCAGGAGATGGAAACTTCAGTAATGTGTACACATCTGACACTTTCACTCTAAGCTGATGGCACTGATTAAAAAAACAAAACATAATTTCAAATATTTGGTAGTTCTTGTAAGGAAGGTACAATTGTTTGATAAAAAAAAAAAAAGAATATCTATATGTCAATCCCTTGGAATATTTGAGGTACAGTTTGTGCCCTCAGAAGTTACTGAGAAGGTTAGTGAAGAGGTTAGTCAGACTTTAAGATGGCATTTGCATCTTTAAGACTGAGATTGTTTTTTTCTGAGATATGTCAGAATTTGTAGTAGTCATCAGACTAGTAGTAGTCACATTAGGAAGGAATTTGAGCATTTGATGGAACTTTTTTTGTAGGAGTAAGTATACCTGTTGTAGACACAGGTGTGTGACAGAATTGTGTCATGTTGAGATAACATGCCATCATGACCCTGTGTACACCAGAGTGAAGCACTGGAGTAGTTTTTGTACAATTCTGTTTGTCTCATTTGATTGTTAATAGTGACTTGATTTTAAAGGTGTTTTAGTTGATTAAAAAATTACATGGTCATCCTTCTTAGGGCATGGCATTGTATAAATAATTGCCCTCAAATCTGACCATTTTAGATGCAAAGTGAAAGGGGAACCGAATTAGATAAAAGGAGCCTGAATTTTTAGTCTTTATAGTTTTGACTATTTTTCATATTTAAAACTTAAGTGAGAAATTTTCATTATTAGAAAATTATTACTGTTATTCTGAGTAAGGATATTGTGTGTTTTTCTTTTTCTTTTTTTTTTTTAGTAAACAGTCTTTTAATAGAAGTATGTTTGAGATTATTTTCTCTTTCTCCTAACTCCAGCTGTCTGTACTATATTTTCAAATTTTCTCAATTTTACTTTCTCTGACACAAACTATTTTGAGCTATTGTACTCGAGTCTACAATTAATTGACCCTTTTTGCCTGGGTTCCCCATCTGTGGATTATGCTAATGTGGATTGAAAATACTTGGGCTTGAGGGAGGGGTGAAGAGGATGTGAGAGGAGCAAGTAAGTGGTTGAAGCAGCTGCTCAAAATAGGGCCTTTCCAGTGCTGTTCTGTGACATTTACATTGTGTTTGGTACTAGGAGTGATTGGGAAATGATTTAAAAAGTATCAGATCAGGTGCATAGGTTATATCCAAATACTATGCCATTTTATAGAAAGGACTTAAACATTCTCAGATTTGGGTATTTTAAGGGGAGGGCATCCTGGAACCAGTTCCTCTACAGATACTGAGGGGACTGTGTATGAAAAAGGCACTCCTCAGTGTTAACTTTTATTTTCTGAAACATCATGGCTAAAGTGAATATGGGTTTGAAAATTGAGATTGCTTAGAAACTACTTAGACTGAAAAAAAATCATTTTGGGGGTGGGGAGTAAGTAGTCTTGTCAACTTTTGCCTGTGCATGTAAAACGATTTCATGACAATCCAATTTTTAGAACCAACATTTAGATTTTTGTAGTTGTCTAGCTTTATACAGTCTTTTAGTGGGACATGTAACAGCTTATCACTGCAAACTAATGTGCTTACTAATTATTTTAATGGTTAGAATTTTTAAAAATTGCATGTTGAAAGTGTTAGTCTGAAAGTCTTAAATTTTTGTTTCTTTATAGTTGCTTTTTATTTGTTGCTTTGCAGCAGTTTTAGAATGTAATTGCATCCTTTGGATGTTTTATGAACATAGCTCTTGCTCTACCTTTTTCTTTTGATTAGGTAGTGTAAAAGTGTATCTTTTTGGAGCTCTGGTAGCCTAGTGATAAGAGGTTCCACTGAAATTCCAGAGACATGTGATTCAAATTCTCCAGCTGTTCATGGGGAAGCATGAGCAGTCTCCTCCTGTGTGGTACTGCCTCTGAAAACCCAATGGAGGATCAGCTGTGGGCAGTTCCAGCTTGACAGCATACAACAACATCTAAAAAAAAAGTATCACACTAGCAAATGATCAATCAGACTAAGTATAACTCTGTTATCGGCCACTTACATAATTGTCCATAATGTTTGAAAGAAAGGGAATTGGTTGGGTGTTTCAAAATTAGAGAAAATTTAATTAGGAAAGGTCTTGTCTAGGACTGTGCTTTGGCACCTTCCATCCCATCCCATCCCTTCAAAAAGTCCATCACTGCTTGCACCATCTGAAGACTTGAGAAAGTTAACTTAAAAAAAAACAACAAAACAAACTTACCCAAATGGAAGAGTATTGGATTTTAAAAGTTAAGATTTGTTACAAGTCTCATTGTGAAAGTTCTACATTCATTTGCTGTCGTAAAAGGCTTTGTATTACCCTGTAAAATCAAGTAACGTTTTAAGTTTTTATGGCCTTTTGAGGACAAGAAAAAATATTTCAGTCCTTGAGCTTAACGATTTAGAGTAGCGATGAGGTCTCTTTTTTGCCTCTGGGTGCTGCACTCCATTGTGGCACCGTTCAGGACATCTGTAGTTGTCATGGACAGAAGCTGTTTCCAGAAAAATGAAGGTCGTCTTTGCTATTCATTTTCTAGTTCAGCTCTGTTCTCTTCTTCCTCTGGCAGTAATGGTAACAGCAGTAGCTGGAGCAGTCTTGGTTTAGATGGAGATTTGTTGGAGGACAATTTATCCTTTCCAACATCAGACAGGTTGGTCCAGACCAGAAACCTAAAATCTGATGAGTCTTTCACCACTAATGCATGAGTCATATAAAGATTGTGGGTTATAGTGCAGTATGTATCAACTTGCTTTTCTTTTATATGTTGACATGATTCTGCTTGATAAATTGACACCTAATGGGGAAATTCAATCATGCTAAGATTTGACTGACATCTAATTGCAAAATGTGTTACTTTTATGCATGTGTTGCTCCTCTGCTTGCTTCTTTTCATTCTACAATTATTCATTAAGAAGAGCTTGCTTCCTACAGAATTTCTGTTTTTTAAAAACTTTTCTTTATGTATATAGTTTTATTTCATATATGTGAACAATATAAAGAAAATGGACTCTTAAAAATGACAGCAGGAAAAGCATTAAGAAATGCCTAATAATTCATGATATTCCATGATACTTAAAGTGCTGTATTAATCTAAAACAAATTAGTACTTTGGCTTTGAACTTGATTTTACATAGGAGTTGCAATGTTAACCCAAAGGTGACACCTCTCCGGTGGTTTGAATCCACCAGCTGCTCATTAGGAGAAAGATGGACAATCTCTCAGCCTCTAAAACTCGTAGCCTCTAAAAACTCACTGGAGGATCAGCTATGAGTCAGTCTGACTCTGTGACAGTGAAGTGGGGAGTGTGCATGGAGGAAGCCTGGTGTCACACTGGTTAAATCACTTGGCTGCTAACAGAAGGTTGGCAGTTCAACTCCACCAGGTAACCCCAGGGAAAAGATGGGCAGTCTGCTTCTATCATGATTTACACAGCCTTGAACATCCTGTGGGGAAGTTCTACTCAATCCTGTAGGCTTACTCTGAGTCTAAATGAACTCTTCAGCAGTAAGTTTGCTTTTTTTTTGTATGTCCACGGTAGGGTAGGCCTTGGTTATTGATAGATGAGTTATCTTTGGGCATCATTTGCAATTCTTATTTCAACATGAAATGGTGTGAGAAGCAACGCTTCCTTTTTTATTGTCATTCTTCCCTTTCTAAATGTCATACATCATACTGTAACAGTTGTTCCTTACCACATTTTAAGAATTGGTTTTAAGGTATTAATTAAAAAATTTTTTCCCCCAACTACTTCTGCTGTTTTATTGACAAAGTGATGAACCTGATGATACAGATGAAGCGCATGGGGATGTTGTAGAAGGTAATTTGTGTTTTATATTTTCAAGGTGTTTATATGTTGTTTTTATTTGGTGATGCTCCCTGAAATACTCTATAATTTTTATATTCGTGCATTTTCATTGCATTAACTGTACTATTTGTGTAAAACATTACAAATCAGAGAGCAGTTAAGCTTGTTTTCTTTGTTCAGTTACAAGTCTCTTGCTGAGCAGTTTTATTATTTGATTGCTAAACTAATGAAATACTCATTATGATAAATGCTAAAATACTTATAAGAAAATTATTCTATCATTTGAGAGAGAAATTCATGATAATTTCTGTATATAATTACTTAAAGTGGAAATTTTGAAGCTCTTGTACCTAATTTGAGAAATGCTGCTCTTAGCTACTACTAAGTCAGCCTCTGGGGACTCTGAGTGACCTTGTACAGGATGGTGCAGAGTTCTGTCCAGTCCACCCTGTGCCATCCCCATGATTGGTATGGCTTAGAACATTGCCGTCCACAGGGCTTCCATTGGCCAGTTGCCCAGGGTAGATTGCCAGGTCTTTCTTACAGGTCCAGCTTAGTGTGTATGCTGGGCCGAAACCTGCTCAGCCTCACAGCATTGCATGTGTCTCCACTGAATGTGTCCTACCTGTCACATGTATTGGAATGGTTACTTTCTTCCTTCCAGACTGGTAGCTTCTAAAATTAGTGTTTTAAGGCCAAACGGAAATAAATAAATAAATTTAAAAATATTGCTAAATTCACCTAATTCCTCCTCCAGTGCTAATCCTACCTGCTTATATACACATATTTGAAGGAAAAAAAAAGGGTTTTCTTTTCATGGACATAGTTCCAGATATGAAAATACCACATAACACAGTCACAGAGTTTTTGAACATGGTTTCTAATCTTAATAAAATATTAGTACAATGGCTGAGTGAATCTAGAACTTTTTCATGTGGAAGCTGAATTTTCTTTGTATTCAAGTGGTTGAATTTCTTATTATTTATTAGGAAAATATTAATAATACCATCTATGTAATGCATGTACAGATATATCTGTATTGCTTGAGGTATTTATTTTTGAGCCAGTGATGTCCCCCCCCCACTATAATTTCTTTAGGAATGGTAAAGCAAATTGCTGAAGTGAATTTCTTAAAATTTGAACTTTCATTTGGCTACATCACTAATTGATTATTATTGATCTTACCAATTGATCTTATTAAAAGTTGTTCCAGAAAATTTTCTGGTCAGTCTTTTGACATGTAAGTGATAGTTCCATATTCTGTCCCCATTTATTTTGCTTGTAAGACCCTGGTACCTCTCTCTATCTGTTTTTGCTGTAGATTTCTTATCTATAAAATGTAAGTGATAATTGTCCCTACCTCTTAAGGTAGAGGAAGGATTAATAGAGTTTGCAAAGATCTAGTATATGCAATATGAATATTTTTCACCTGCTACTGTTCCTGTCATTAAATGCTGTTTAATCTGTTCAACTCCTAGTGATCTTACATAACAACAAAACAAAATGCTGCCCAGTGCTTTACCATTCTCACAGTGGTTCCTCTGTCTGAACCCACTGTGAGCCTCTGTGTCAGTCCACCTTGTTGAGGACTTTCTTTGTTACTGACCTACTTTATTAAACAAGATGTCCTGAAGACCTGTCCTTCTTCAAGGGTTGACCCATCCTGATAACACATCCAGAGTATGTGACCCACACTGTAATTAAAAAAGCATAAAATTTTCAGTCTCTCTTACTTGTCCAGCTTTCACACGCAGTGGGGTGATTGAAAATATTGTTGTGGCTTGGATCAAGCATTTCTTAATCCTGAAATCAGTGCCTTTGTTCTGGAACATTTTAGAGTTTTGTTTGAGGTTGCATCCATCTCCACAGATCTATCCAGTGCACATAGTCCAGACAGCTTTCTTCAAGTATTTTTTTAAATTTTTTTCTTAAATCTAAAGGGTTTTGTTGTGTGCCTCATTTTAGTTTTTGTTGTAAAGATAGTTGATTTTTGTGGCCTAGTCTAAAGGAAATCGAGCTGCTGACTCGGAGGTCATACCTTCTGGCAGTTTGAATCCACCAGTGCCTCTGTGGGAAAAAGATGGGCAATATGATTTACTACCTCAGAAACCCAGTACATGGTCACCTATGAGTTGGTGTTGACGCGACAGCAGTGAGTTTTTTAATTTTGTAAAGTTTTCTTTCCTATCTTTCCCTCGTAGATCTTTTGACAGATTAAGGCATTTATGGTATTAGAATTGAGTACATAAAAATATTGTTTTGATTTTGGCCTGTTAGTAAATGATCAGAGTTACTTTATTGTTTTTGTGCTATTTTGTGCTTTCAAAGTTAATGTTAAGGAAAAAAAAAAGGATTTTTTTTTTTAATTCCCAGTGTTCATTGAAATCTTAATGGAAAACAGATCATTAGAAGCTAGAGTATTGTGTGGAATCAATTTTATTTCATTGTATTGTTTAAATTTAAATATTAGGCTTGGGACGAGATGGAAAGACTCTGCTAATTACAAATGTTGACATGGAAATGTGCACAGTAGACCCTCAGTTGAGGATTATTCTTCAGTGGCTGATCGCCTCAGAGGCTGAAGTTGAAGAACTTTATTTCCATGACTCCACCAAAAAGGAGTTTATCCTAGTAAGTATCTAATTTAAGTGTGATACTTTCTGTCACATAGTAGATAGGGCTCCTTACTTTGTGCTGGAAGTCTATGAAACAGTTAAGAAGAAAGTGCTGATATTTATATGATAATGATAATAGATATATAACATTTACCTGTATATGTTAACACAAGTATGTGTTGATCAACATAGAGGATACATTCTGTGAAATAGGATGTATTTTGAATTGGACATTGTGAGAACACCATATTACACAAAGGCAGGCCTTGTATAATCCATAGATAAATCTCTATAAAGTCTGTTATGTTAAAACTTTATTTCAAAAAAACAACAACAGAAAAACTTTGTGAGAAATTGCTAAACAAAACACAAGAGCTATAGCCACAGGATACGAAAGACTAACTTTGCCAAGCAGGTTGTTGGGATAGGCAGGAGCTATACTGTCAGCTGGACTGAGATTTTTTACACTTGGGTACAGGGTAGAGAGTATGGGAGTATGGAAAGTGGCTGCAGGATCTGAACAGGGAATGGATTGCGGGTGCCAGGAGTGATGGTGCTACCACTTACTAATCACGTACAGAAGGTACCAGCACTCTGCCCCCAGAGCTGAGAGCTCATGGATACCTTGGGTTCCAGCCCTGTTGCATTAAGAAAGAAGCCAGGGAGGGCAAGGTGCATGACCGCTTGACCGATGAATGGAGTCCCGAGGAAGGGGAGGAGGAGCAGAGGCAGAGTTGCTGGGGGAATTGAGTCCTGTTGCTGGTTCACTTTAGGAATTTAAAACTACTGCTAAGAAAAGAAGCAAGAGACTTACTGTCCGTTTTAGCAATACAAAACAAAAGCCCATTATGTTCTCTCTCAGTGTATTTGAACTGCTGCCTTTTCTGTCAGCAGCTGTGTGCTTAACCACTGTACTACCAGGGTGCCTTGTGTAGGGATGCAAAGTATATAAGTCAAAGATAATTTGCACAAGAGAAAAAAAATGGATAAATTGGACTTCATAAAAAATAAAAGACTTGTATGTTTAAAAGAAAAGAAAAAGAACACAAATAATCGAAAATATTTGCAAACTGCATATCTGATGGGACTAGAAATATATAAAGAACTTTTCCAACTCAGTAGTAGATAAATAAAAAGAGGACTCAAGTGAATGGGCAAAGGAATGGGCATTGCTCAATCAAAGAGGCTATGCAAGAGCCTAATACACACATGGAAAGATGATCAGCGCTGCTTTTAGCCCTCCCTGGCCATTTGCAGCAGTCTGTGGAGGTCTGGCCACTCAAAGGTGAGAAGGTGATAGCTGTGAAAAAGACAAAAAAGTCCCTGGAGTCGATCATCTCTAGGCTCCAACTTGTTATGAAAAGTAGGAAAATACATGCTGGGGTACAGCAGGACTCTGAAGATGATCAGGCAAAGAAAGGCCAAGTTGGTCATACTCAACCAACAACTGTCCAGCCTTGAGGAAATCTGAAATAGAATACGAGTACGACACTATGTTGGCCAAAACATCACTACACTGGGAATAATACTTAACTGGGTACACAGTGTGTGGAAAATACTGCAGAGTGTGCACATTGTTTATCATTGTTCCAGGTGACTCTGATGCCATGAAAGACCTTCCAGAAAAGACTAATGAAAAAGAAATCATGTTTCTCTTCAATAAAATTGGCCAGTTTGTTTTTAAAAAAGTAAAAAAATGCTCAGCATCATTTGTCATCAGGAAAATGCAACTCAGAACCACAGTGAAATGCCACTTCAGCCCCAGAAGGATGAATATAATCTCAAAGTAATGTGATAACAAGTAGACAAGAATTTGGAGAAATTAGTAGCTTTCTTCATTGCTGGTTGTTATTGTTAATGTGCCATCAAGTTTCCTGAGACTTATAGCAACCCTATGTAAAACAGTCCTCTCTGTCCTGTGCCAATTTTATTGTCTCTGACACACGTACCCCCATTACCCCAGTCATTGAATCAATCCATCTCATTGAGGGTCTTCCTTTCTTGTGCTGTCCCTCCACCCTCCCAAGCATGATGTCCCTCTTCGAGGATTGGTCTCACATGGCAGCAACATCATGCCCAAAGTATGTCAGATGAAGCTTCAGAACCTTGCCTCCAAGGAGCAGCCTGGTTTCACCCTCTCTAGCATGAACCTGTTTGTTCTTCTAGCAGTCTATGGTATATTCAGTGCTCTTCTTCAGCACACAGCTCAAAGGCACAGCTGCTTTGGAAAACCTTCTGACAGTTCTTCAGAAAGTTTTAAACAGTTACCGTATGATCTAGCACGTCTCACATCTAGATGTATATACTTGAAAGAATCAAAAACATAGTTTACACCAAAATTTGTTGATGAGTGCTTGTAGTAACATTATTCATAATAGTTGAAAGTAGAAATAGCCAAATATATTCATTAACTTATGAATGAATAAATGAATATATATATATAATTTCCATACAGCAAGTATTAATACATGACAATAAAAGGGAAGTACTGGTACATGCTGTGGATAAACAGTGACTAAACCTTGAAAAGAATATAAGTGAAAGAAGCTAGTCATGAAATTATGCATAACATAAAATTCTGTGTACATAAAATACCTAGAATTGGCAGGTCTGTAGAGATAGAAAGTAGACCAGTATGCAGTTGGCTTAGATGGAGGGATCTGGGGAGAAATAGGGAGTGAATGCTCATGGTACAGGGTTTCTTTTTGAGATGATGAAAGTGTTTGAAATATGATTGTGGTGACAATGGTAAATGTCAGTGAATATTTTAAAAACCATTAATTTATGTACTTCAAATAAGTCTCACTAGATCTGTTAAATATTAGAAAACACTGATAGTTTCTATTAACTTAATAGAAAAAAAGAGTGGAAAGTACATTAATTTACATGTACTTCAAATAAGTCTCACTAGAGCTGTTAAATATTAGAAAACACTAATAGTTTCTAAGAAGTTAATAGTAAAAAAAAAAAGTGGAAAGTACATTCTGATTGGTGAAGACAGTTCATTAAAACCCGTGTTTTCTTTTGGGAAGAGGAGGAATGTTTAAATTTCTTAACTTAGAAAGCCATGCTTCCGTTGAGGCTAGCGTGTGTATTCCAGAAAAAAATCCCACACTGTGTTGTGGGAGGAAAATTCACATCCTTTTATTATTAAGCTTGCCATCCTCTTTATTATTTTATGTTCTGAATTGAGGGTGTGGCCATTGCCGTTCACTCACTTTATAAGCATTTCCTGTAGCCATGTAGCCTCTGTCCTCCGGCAGACTATCAGCTGGGTGAGGTTTGTGGGTTGTGTCGCCAGCAATTCCAGTGTCCCTCTGTAGAGAAGATATGTTTATACAGGCCAGGAAGGAAGAGTGTTCTTCTGTTTGGGTGAGGGGATGGCACTTTAGAGGAGAAGTTCTTGTAATAACTGGGAAACAGCAGTTAATTGTAAACAGTAAGATTCTTTGTTTCATCTGCTGTTAAAACTTTTCTTTTGGTTAATGTTTGGCACACTTTTCTTTCTTGTTAGCTTTCAAAACATTTACAAGAGAAAGGCTGGCGCGTGGGAGACCTCCTGCAGGCTGTGCTGAAATACTATGACACCACTGAGACGACCACCAGCGGGGAGAGGCACAAGTCGCTGTTTGATTGGCTCTTGGAAAATGTATAGGACAGAGGCCAAACCAGTAGATTTTTTACTGTTTGTTTTGGGAGAAGAAACAGATTATTAGGGTAAGATTCAAATAGTAAATATTAATTAACTTTGAGAGGAAAGTAAGTATACCTTTTCCAATGCTTATGTCACAGTGTACATAGGTCATACTTTTGTAATCTGTCAGAATACTTTCATTTATTCTTCTATCCACTTGTATTGTGTTCACACCCTAACAACATAAATATGAAGGAAGGTCTAAACAGGAGGTTTTTAGGGGCACTGTCCCCTCATGTTCTTTTTGCATCCAAATAGAGCTGCTAGAAATTGCACTGAAGGTGGCTGAGAATAGGTTCCGGAGATAATTGTCATTTGCTTGCTACAGTTAAAGTGACAGGTGTGCGCCTTTGCAAACAAGTCATACCCTGTGAGTAACCAATCTGTTACCAAATACTAAAGCTGAGTATACTTCTGTTTATTTGGAATATTTCTTTTTGTTGTGGTTTTAAAAATCAGCTTTGTTTCCTAGTTTAGCTATTAGTAGCTGTTTTGATCCTCAAATCATTTAGCAGAAACATTAGTATTTTAGGCTTGTGATAATTTCCACAGTCCTTCATCAAAGACATTACTTATCAATTCTGCCAGTTGTTCTGGCAAGAAAAGCGTTTGTGGTTATGTGTGTGTGTGTGCGCGCGCGCGCGCGCGCATGTCCATGTCCATAAGCATAAGCACGTGTGCTCGTAAAGAAGTACTTTGACCTTGAAGTTGATTGGTGTCCCCTTTTTACCATTTTCTCAGTTAAAAACCCACTTGTTACTTTTAAAAAAAGTGCTTTAAATAAAATGTAAAGCTTGTGCAGTGAGATTTTATTTCTTTCTCTGAAAAGATTTTGGGTTCCATTACCCAACAAATGAAAATTCAAATTGTCAGACTTGTTGAAAATGTAAAATTATTAAGGAAATGAATTCAATAACACTTTCTTCATTGAAATTTTTACCCGTTTTCACTCAAGGATAAGCTTTTCCTAGAAAAATGGGCATTTTTTTTCTCTTGCAGAGAAATTATAAGTTCACTCTTTTGTAAAGCCCCCTGCCATGATCTTGGTGGACTTTGCTTCTTTTCTTTATTGCTTTGTCATGACGTGATTAGAGTACCCAGATTATGCTCAGTTCTGTGTATGGGTGTGCCCGCTTAAGTGTCTGCTTTTCCCCACAGGGCTTTGTAATTGAAGGTATATAATTTTCTCCACTGAAATTCCTCTACTCCTGAGCACTAACAGTTCCAGAAGCTACACAAAGTGTGGAATGCATGGCTCCTGCCAGGGAGCAGAGAATAAGGGCACTTATATAAGTGTGGATTAATAATTACAGTAGAGAAACATATTTTCTACTGAAAGAGATTGCTCTTAAAGACAACCACTCAAAATTATTAGGATATTTTTTGAAGTTATACTATCAGCGTTGGGATTTTAAAATACAGGACCATGGAAGTAGAGGAAAGTTTGAACAAAAGTGTTTGTTGAAGTTTCTTCAGGTGTTTTGTAAGGAGAGGACTGGAGGAAGTACAGAATCAGAATTATTTCTGTCATTAGCTTCTTGGAACTTAAGATGCAGTCACACTCGACTGGGGTTTTAGATGTTAGGAGTTTTAGAATATTTGCTCTTGTTAATTGTAACAACAATTAATTGGATTTTCAATTTTAGATTGTGTTTTTTTAATGAGTATATTAACTATTAAATTGTGTTTAAAAACCTGGATATATGTATTGTTGATCAACAGCAAAACAGTTCTCAATTTTTTTCCAAGTAAAGTAATAATATATTATTGTATTAGTTTTATGAAACTTTTTGTGTTTCAAAATGCTTATTTCTCTTAAGGTAAGTTTGAGGTAACATTGTCCTCATATCCTTAGTTCCTTTCTCTTTTACGAGCTGTGTTGTGTGTCCCAAGTTCTCTTATTTAACACCTGCATAGTGACAGAACTATGTATTAGCATACTTGATAATTATAATAGTGGAACTCTGTACATGTCCTAGTTCAGTGCAAGGACACGGGAAGGAATTTAAGTATTGACAGATGTAAAGAGAAGCATGAGTTAAACTATCCTACATTCAGAAAACATTTGTGTTTGGATCAGTATCTTTTAATCAAGTACAGTTGAAGCTTCCTTTCTTTCAAAGCACTTTGTGTATTGTGATTTTCCAAAGATGTTTTTGATCTGCTTGGCTGCTCAACTTTCAAAACACCTCCTTTTTTTTGAGGTTATCCCTCACTGTCTGTATTTTATTAGAAATCTGCTTGACATATTTATATTGTAATATTGTCATTCTGTGCAGTTTGGCCCTTAAGAAAGACCATGTTTTACTCAGAGCTATTTAAGTTGTGATAGTTCATTGAGCTGAATTCTTTGTTTGTCAGTTCAGGAACCACTGGATGAAAATGTGGAATGAAAATGAGGAAGACCTCTGATGGGGTTTTTTAGTACATTGGGGTTTTTTAAGACTGAAATGTGGTAATGTTTCATATCCTCTTTTTCTTAAGCCAGATTTAAATTACACTTATATTTTGGGCATATGTTGATTTTGAAAATGTTCCCTGGTTTATACAAAAGAATTAATTTTTAAATCACAAGCAAATATCAATATCTCTTGATGTTTTGATGTGATTTAACAGGTTTATAAAAATAACTCCTGTGAATATACATGATAACATCTTTATACTTTGAAAAATCTTCCACCTAACCCTTTCAGATATTTGATATTTGGTATGAATGAATTCAATTCACAATATTTTAATATTGCTTAAATAAGGGTTTTATGTTTATTCAAGCATTTAATTGCTTACTGAGTACACCATGTAATAAAGTACAAGTTTGCACATATGCCTGTGACACTAGTGTGTGCTCCCTAAATGCACTGTTGAATCTTGTCTCAGCAGAGCCCAGCCTCTCATGACTGCTTTGTTAAATGCTTAGCTAATAATCTTCCTCCAGAATTAATATTGCCCATCTACCCTTAGCATATCACTTTAAACTTTGCATTATTAAAAGGAAACTTGCCACAGAAGTCTTTTGTTGTTGTTAATAATAATGTAAACTCAGGGTGTAGAGAAAGAGCTTTCCATTAAGAACCCTGTCTACCTGTCACCAGCACAGAGCATTAGAGCTTGTGGTGAGAACTTTGAAATTGTACTAAAGTGAAATGAATTCTATTTTCTCATTTTCGGTAAAATGCCCTGGAAGCATCTATTCATATTTTGTAACCTGCTCTGAAGATGGAGATGCAGTACTCACTCATGTCACTTTATTTATTTATTATTTTTTTACCATCCATGTACATTCCTTTTGTATGGGTAGGGTTGTAATTGTTAGGAAGTCATTGTTCTGTTTTTTTGTTGTAATGTTTGAATACTATTTAATATCAGGCTTTAATATTGCTGGATTTGCTACCTTTGGTTACTTGTGTCGTGTTATAAGTAATCTACATTCTTGTTTAATACACCTGAGATATATCAAAAGCAGCTTCCACTGATTGTAGCTGTTTATTTGTGCTGAATTACTACATTAAGATTTTGTACTGTGTAACAGTAACCTTTTTTTCTCTTCAGTAATTTAATATATTCACTTACCAAAATATGAACTTCAGGATGCACTAAAATTTTCTTTGTTTTAGCAGTGACTCAACTTATCTTTGTAATAATTACTTATGTAATAATTTGCAATGAATTGTGTTTTTGTTTTGTTTTGTTTTTTAATCTTGTTTAAGCCTGTGACCTTTCTTCCCCCCAACTAAGAATCCTCCAATAAATTTAAGAGATGCCTGGCTTTGGATTTCTTTCTGTATTACCTTGTTAATGTCTCGACAAAACATTGGCATGCAAGTGGGATTACTGTGAAATAAGACACACCAAAGGATCTACATTCTGACATCATAGTTTTCCAGAACAAGAGAAACCAAAAGTCTTTTTTATTACTACGACTAGGGGCTTTTTCTACTCAGATTGCCTCTAGATGCTGACCTCAGTTATTTGAAAGGCTGATTTTAGACGTTAGTGCAAAGTAGAGTCTTGATGATCATTTGGATTATTAGTTTGGCTATGAAATTCTTGTTGTAAAGAGATTCTCCATCATATGACATAACATGAGATATGCAAGTGCTGTCTGCTTAATTGCTTCAGACAAAAATTTGATTGCCGTTGAGTTAGAACTGACTCATAGTTGATCCTTTATTGGGATTCCAGTTTGTACATTGAAAGGGAAGAGATTGCCCATCTTTCTCTTGTGGAACAGTTGATGGATTTGAACTGCTTGACTTGTGTTGACAGGCAGTCACCACCTCGGCCACCACCAGTGCTCCGCCTTGTTTTTACTAGTAGAATTAAATGTCCTCCAAAGTGTTTGAAGCCCTGAAATTGGGTAAAGCCATTCTAGCTTTTCATGAATATTTCAAAATGTTGGAAAATAATAGCAATGAGTGTGAAAGTTTGGGTGTAAGTATATCTCAGTTACCTAAAAAAAATTATTTTAATAACTCTGAGGGGAAAAAAACGCAAGATTCCATAGACTCCAAGTTCAACAGTGAGAATGACTCAAAAAAGAGTGGTAAGTTGGGGCAAATGGTATTTTCACAGTTTTATATTCTGAGATTATTTGTGATTCACATCTTGACCAGGATAATAGGTTGAAAGATAGAACTTGAAGAATTACCTCAGATTTTAAATTGTGAAGGATGGAGATGTTATATACCTAAGGAAGAATATCCTACTGGTACTGTTTTATAAGAAGGATAGAATGAAGATCTTGATTTTTTGCAGCAGGAAAAATAAAGAATGCACAAGGACATCTGTAGAGGTGATTTTTTCATTTTTTTTCTCTTAAAATTTGATAATCTTACCATTCTCACTTTATTTTGATGGGGTCTTATGTTCCCACTATGAAGTGGGAACCGACCCATAGCTCACTCTCTCCAGTTGGTTTTCAGAGGCAGGAAGTCATGTGAGAAGAGATTGCGCATCTTGTG